GACCGTTAGAACGCGCGAGGGACGCGAGCCGGCGATCTGTTTCGCTTCTGGGAGTGCGTCGCGGCGCGAGATTCGTCCCGCGTTCGTGCGCGCGCGGCTATCTTTTCTTTTTCGTGGGAACTTGATGGTGTAATGTGGTCAAGCATGGATTTTCGTCATCAACACACCACCTGATGTGCCAAGTGGGGAAACAATGACTGCCGAAAGCCGGGATATCAATGGTTTCGAGTTCCAATGGACGTGCGGTACGCTTTTGGTCTTCTCTTGCTTAAGTTTCTGATTAGATGTTTGCAACAAAACCTAACTGTCGCAGTGGTAGTGAGTATTAATTGTTTGATTTTGGCAATAGCTACTATGGTTTCCAATCACAAAACCAAATCCTATCGTTGTTCAGGATTGCTCTTCACTCGCCGCGAGAAATATGTCATTGTCAAATTACTGGAGACTTCTGTGTAGACTTTTTCATTTCAAGATCGAGCACATATGCTCACTTTAACAGATGGCAAACTTTTTGCTGCGAGCTGTTTATTTGGCACTGTTGTCAGCGATTCACGCGTCTGCTCGCGAGGAGTGAAAATATGAGCCTAAATATTTTTCGATTAACTGAGGATGAGCGATAGAGCGATCCGCTCTGGTTTCCCGTTTCGTTTAGCAGTGACTCACTCCTAAATTTAAGTGATAATATTAAAAACGAATGGGCAGGTTCTCGATGAAGACTCAATACCAAAGAGCTGAGCTGTTTTTCTTGGTACTCATTGTTAGTTTCCTTTAGTTGCAATTAAGACACCGTCGTCGGTCTTTACTTATATGCTTACTTATATAATCAAATTTGCAAGGACGCATATCATCACCTTCGTCGCACGTAACCTTAACGTTTTATCCTGTTTTGTTGTTCATTTCTTTGTTTCTCGTGTGCAAAACAGTGAGAAATTTCGTCTGTATGTTCTACTGTCTGTTGAATAAAAATGAACGCAAAAGGACAAGCATTGCATATTTTTTGTGTATGTGTCACTTTCGTTGCTTTGCTAGGTTTCTGCTGCTTTGCTGCTGGTCTCGCTTTTCAGTGCTGGCTTGTGTGCGTTTCAACGCAAATTAACCAGCATTGAAATGCGAAAACCAGCCGCAAAGCAGCAGAAGCCTAGCAAAGCAACGCGCACACCGGGCAAAAAAAAAAAAAAAAAAAAGCTACAATATATATATTTTTAACTCTAGGTGGCGCAAGCTACCGCCCATCCATCCAAACACAATGGCGCTGCCGTGCAGTTTCGGTTTTGGTTTCGCTGTGCCGCCATGTTGATTTTAGTACAGCCACCAGATACCAGGGGATTCAAATGGCGCTGCGGCCTCCCAGGGTTTTCCAATTTGCGTTCCATGGGCGGTATAGGAAGTTGCACTCCTCTGGCCCTACTGCGCACGCGCAGTAGTTGCTTCGTTTACCACACGATAGATGGCGCTTGGCTCTCAGCATTATCAAATTTGGCAATTTTCGCCACACATCTCTAATTATGCTACAAAATGTGGATCTGAATATTATTTAACAAAACTTTTAGGAAACATTCGCCAGCTATTTATTGTTTACGATCGCGGTGCTGGTGAGGTAGGCTCTTACCCAATAGGCGATGTGGATTCGGCTGACGTGCACCGATTCTGCGTATGCATCGTAGTGAACAGGCGAAGGAAGGAAGGCGCAAAAGAGTCCAGTTTTCTTTTAAAAGTTCTATAGCAAATAATTTTTTTGGGCTCCCTATTTTTGTGTTTTTGTGTTTCTTTTCACACCTTTTACGACGTGCGGTGGATGAAACTCGATTTTAAAATCATTTCATGGTCCCTTTAAGAAATCTATGATATGGAAATGCAACTATTAAGCACCATTTTGACTGCTTAAATATAAAGTTGGAGATGTGGGACTTTGGGCTATCTAGTGTTTTATAACTCAAATGTAAATATTTCAGTAAGAGTTATGACATCAATTGAAATCATATTTTTTTGTTTTTATCAATCAGGAGTTCAAATTAAAACAAAATAAAGTAGATAGTCCAATTCTCCAGTAAATTTCAGTTCAGAAACATCTTGATTGTGGTGTCAGAATACTTTTACCTTCGAACAAAAGATTCCTTCGTATAAAGTTTGCAGCAAAAAGTGGAATTGACAAACCTGCGTTCATACATTGCACTCCTTTACTTTGTACCGCCTCACAATCTGTTAAAAATATTTTATTAACTTAACTATTTGGCATATGGTTATCAAATTTAGTGCTAGGGTGTATTATTCATTTCTAAAACCAAAAACCTCAAAATTGAAAAATTAGTTTTTTAAAAAAATATTTGAAATTTAGGTTTATGTCTCCCGCCCCCAACCCCTTGATCGTTTTAAGCTCTTGGGAATTTCTGACCTTCAGATTTCTGCCTTCTAAATCAAACTTTTTACCTTCAAGACCAAATTTCTAGCCACAAACAAAATAAAAAAAAAAAAAAAAAGAAGAAGATTGGTGTTATTTGTTGGCAGAGCCGCAAACTAAGCCGTGAGTGAGCCTGGTTCAGTCAAGACGGTTGAGGGTGTGAACCGGTGAAAGCAGACCAGCTATACTCATCCTGAACAGTTTCGGGACAGCTCCATGTTGACGAGCTAGGCTCGTCCAAGACGGTCCAGGGGTCAACAGACGAGAAAGAGTATTTTACCTTGAAAAATGAAGACCTTGATAAGCAAAGACGAGTATCATTGTGGCTCCCCACCCCTTCTCTGCTTCGCTTTGTTCTGAGGGGGCACCAAAACTAGCGGGCACTGTCTCTTGTGTCAGTTCAGTAGCACCGCAGAAATTAATACAATGTTGTTTGTTGGCTGCCTCAAGTTATTTTTGTTAAGGGTTCACAATGATATTAAATTGTTGTTGGTCTCCTGAAGTTTTGTGACCTTCACTTGCTGTAGCAAATCCTCGGCAACATTTCTTTATTTCTCGACAGCTGCGGGCTTTTTTTAAACTTGGAACAAAAGCAACACTCCAGACATGTGTTGGGTGCAGACTCGTATGCTTCTTTGATACAAGCTACTGTAAGAACTCGCTGAGTAATAAATTCCTAGTTCCCTATATTGCAGGAGTGGCCAAGCTGCGGCTCGCGAGGCGCATGCGGCTCTTCGTGTGTTGAAGTGCGGCTCGCAACTCCCTTCCGTAACCCCCCCCCCCCCCCCCCCTCCCTGCCACCCTCCCGGTTGCACGAGCACTTCCCCCAAAAGAGATATGGAACGCGTTTTAAATCAAAACACAGCTAGCGGTTTGGTAGTCTAGTGCTACTGCTACCTTATGTACATTTGGACTACTTTTGACTCGGATAGATTGCAGGTAGTTCAAGTTTCGTTCATTGCTTTAGACAAAAGTGTGTGTCCCCCCCCACACCCCCACGGCTCTCAGAAGTTTCGTGGTTTTGTTTGCGGCTCTTAGGCCGGGTCAGCCTGGCCAACCCTGCTATATCGTCACGATTGACAAGGTGAAACAAAGAATAACTGGGGAAACTGAAACGTTTAATGAGGCAAACTTGTGCCCAAAAATAAGAAAAAGGGAATAGAGGAAAGCAGAGCGTTGCGAGCGTTGAAGTCGGCGTGACAGCAGAGTCGAACGCTGGGGGGAAACTGGCTGCGGCTCGCCACGCGGAGCCCCTTATGTACACGTGTGGGCTTCTGGAATAATCGGCGTAGAAGGTTCGGCGTGTAGAACATTCTGACCTCGAACAAGCAACACGGTTCTCGTTTTTACCAGAACATTACGTTCAATTCAACAAAAATGCGTCCCCGCGGCCAGGAATCGAATCCTGGTTTCTGCGTGGAACGCAAGCGCAATAACCGTTAAGCCACGAGCGCACTGCCTGTTTGACCACCTGTGTGTGCGGCAATATATACGAAAAATGCATTTCTTGGAGTGTCCATAGCAATGAGAGTTGGTTTCATAGTAGCCACTTATGTGGTTTCTCTGGCAATGCACATTACATGTGGCAATTACTTTGTGGCACCCTACAATGGCCTACAGATAAGGGCACAGGCAGTAACTCAATCCATGTGCTTAACATGTTCTATAATATCCACAATTGCTATAGTGATCCGTGTTTTTCTATATTAAAAATGTGACCAAACATCCTGAAAGGCCTTTTTTCTGACATATTTCTCAGGAAGGAGGCTCATTGCACATTTAATAAATGGGAAGACCACGCATGCTTGTAATTTTAAATTTTCTAAGACGCTTATAGATAGGGCATGTGCCATAAAAGGAGGGTTTTCAGAACTACTTTCGCGTAGCTTTAAGAATGTTTTGATTCAAGTAAGTATTGAAGACTTATAAGATGTAGTAGCTAGAGTATCTGGTGAGCATGCAGAACTTTGTTGCAGCTTCTTTGACAATCAGACACGAAACTTGTATGTGTAGTCCGTGTAGTCCTTAAAGGGGAACTTTGGCGGTTTTCTGTGCTCCCCAAGCTAAAAACATATAATCGGAATGGCCAAACTTTACTTTTATTGGCATGCAATGTAATATCTCTAAACCCAAAATAGCTAATTGAGAAAATGGCAAAGGAGGGTTGTGCCAAAACCAACATTCAGATTTTCACACGCCCTCCTGTAGGGTGATGCTACATGTTGTATGGCTTGTAAGTCAGGATGGCAGTTTGAAAAACAATATTTAGCACTTTGTTCTTTTCGTTTCGCCGGCGCAAGTTGGTCCTGCATTTATTTCACACGATCGCACTTCTTGTAATCTGCCGGAAACGAGGTGTGCTGCACCCCCCTGTCACGACTTTTGACGTCACATTTTCAGTATATAGCGCAGGTAGAACAAACTAAATTACTTTGCGCAAAAAATTTATTGTGCCTTCTAGTTCGGGTTATTTGTTCAGATGTGTCTATTAATCTGTTGAAGCAACTCTGGGGAAAATTAGCGACTAAAAGCTGTACCAGAGCCCCCTTTGACGATGTCTCTCCAGCCGTGCTCTTCATAACTGTGCGTGCCAACTTTGCAGACAAGCGGACGGGTGGCGGAGAGAGCGGGCATGGGCAGGCGGTCTGGTGGCCGACCGGCGTGGGCGCTGGCAGTGCCGTTGGCGCTGGTGGTGCTGGGCTGCCACCCCTGCCGGGCGGTGACGCGGCAGTTTGGGCTGCCGGACTCTACGGTGGCTGCGGGCCACCTCTTCAACTACACCATCCCCAGGGACTCCTTCAGCGGTGGCAAGCACCGCTTTGAGGTAGGGACATTGCCAGGTGCTGCTAGGTGCTCTGAGAGCATGCTGTGCAATCGAAGTATCTAGCTAACTTTATATTCACCTGGGAAGCTTCTGCTAAGGGATCTCATGGGCTATTTTTGCCAAATCTGTCACATTTTTGTCAAAACCAGCAAAAGGAGGCCACCTTTGGGTATCTTTTCGTAGGTTTCGACAGGTGCAGGTGAACTCGCGTAAGGTTTAAAATCGTTTCGCGTAGTTTCGCATGCTGCTCATTGCGAAAATGTAGCTGTACAAGTACAAATTATTAGTATTATTAAGTGGCAAGGCAACATCGCTTAATGTGTTGAACTTGTAACATTCTTTCGTGTAAGAGGAATTTTGAAAAGTTTCGCTAATAGAACCTAAAAAATTTAAGTTGTTGCGGTATAATTAGGGTTTTCTCTTTTCGAGGTATAATTTTCTTCGAATCGGTGTTCTTTTTTTTGGGGGGTTTATTTTTCTTTAGAGATTCGGTATGTTTCGCTGTGAATTTTCGATATTAAACAAAAAGTTGGGGCTTAAACTTTAGGGCATGGGAATGGAATCTCCCAACCTTAGGAAACATGCTCTTGACATGAATACCTGGTCCCTGTTCTGGTATCAGTGGAGACCCTTTTCCGGGCTACCACGAGATAAACCTTGAGACAATGATTTTCCTGGGAAGGTTAGGGCTTTAACCCGGAATGTGTTTATGGGCCGGATCGATTTTTATGCGAAAAGTGTCGCGTTTGAGCGTGACGGACAAGAGTTACGTGTAGGCCAAAGGCAACAGAAAGTATACCCGGCCCATAGTAGACTACGAGTATAGATCCAAAGGAAACACATCCTTGGTTATATTTACCATATGGACTCATAATTAGGTGCAATTAACTGTAACAAGCAAGATTTACCGAGCGGCTTGGCGGGAATTAAACCCCAGACCTTGCTATCTGCAGCCAGACGCCTTTGCTCGGCACCATGGGTGAAGGTGGAAGCGCTAGTGCTAACAGGAGGACCAAGTGCGACTCACAGGACCCTGCACAAACAGGCAACCGTTGGCGCGCACGGCTAACTCTCGAATAACAAGGCGTAGCTCCCCAAGTGATCCCACAGCGTCGAGGGGAAGATCAGAATGCATCAAGAGACAGCACAGCTGACGTACAACGTCACAACTTCAGGCAGCAGCCAATAGACTGATTGACGGTTTTGACAAGCCTCTTCCCCTCGTGATTACTTCGGTTACCACAAGCGCCTCCTCGCAATTCAAGAGCACAAAGAACTCGAGGCACTGCACCGACGCCACACTTGCCCTCGGAAGAGACGAAAACCAAGTACTTTACTAGGGGACGTTCTACTTTGCTCATTTGCATTAGACAGCGTGCCTTCAGTGCGAAGTCCTCTCCGAGCAGTTTGGAAGCCCCGTGTTTGACAGAACGCACGATGTCGACGTTGCTGTGATCTAGCACTGCCGGGGGAGAGGGCTGCTGCCAGCACACATAAATATTGGATTCGCGTAGGCATCAAAGATGGCTGCCTCCGCTTTCTCGACAGGTTTCCACGGCAAGAGATGGGCGGCACATACGCCTCCGAACTTGAAAGGGAAAACTCCCGAGGTTGTGTGCGTCCAGCCGTTCCAACTGCACGAAAGCTCTCAGCGCTGAGTCCGTTCGATTTTCACGAAGTGATATGTATTTGTAAAGTCAGGTCATTTATTTGCTGAACTTTTGGAAACTTCTCATGAAAGCGTACTCCCCAGGAGGCCCAACTCATCAGCAGAACCTGAAGATAGAGACCGCCCACCTCCACCCTCTCTCCAAACAAGCCAAAGAGCGATCCTGAACGAATAAATTCTTTGATTCCTTCAATCAGTTTTGCCTCGATCAGCAGACCTTCTGCACCTACAGCTATTCGTCAAAAAATTTATTTCTGGACGTATCTGTTTACGCAATATCCAAGAGATGCCCCACCCTCGAAAGATAACCCACCTCTATTCTTGGTATAATTTGCTATTTTTCACACTGAGAGATAGCCCACTTCTACTAATTGCAGAATGGTTTTCCTTAGCCAAGGCAAGAGATAAAGCGAACGTTGGTGACTGGGGAGGACAGTATTTGGTTCAAACTTTTTATCACACACTGAAAGTTAGTTCATTCCTTATATTCACCCGGTTTGCTTTTGATTTTAGGTGCGTTTCCTCTCGGGATATTACGGTATATTCCAAGATACTTTCTTGTCGATTTCACAAAGGTATCTCGGTCATATCCTGCTAATAAAAGACAAATGTATCCCAGTATCTGTATCTTGGTCCTAAAATACATGTATTTTTAGTATTTGTAATCACGAATACTTACTGGGTTATCTCTAGGCAGCCCTTCTTTTTAGCACGTGGATACATTTTAGCACACTTTTGCTGACGTTGTCTCGAGCCGAGAGGTTAATGGGACGCGTCCGTCGAATAGAACTATTTTGCGAGTCACAGCTGGCCGTTTATGTTTCTGTTATGCTGCGAGGTACTTTCCGAAAAAATGAAAATACAGTAGAATCTCGATGATACGATCATGGTTCATTCGAATTTTGGTATGATACAAATTTTTCAATATCACTGGCGAAATGAATGCCTTCTCGGCCTCAATGGAACATACGAACGATGATTCACTATGTTTAAACATCCTTCAAGGTGGCATCACTCAGCTCTTACAATTGTAGCACGCGTTATTGCATAATTTTTCTCGCCATTCTTTCTACATGTGCAACGTGCAATCACAACAACTGTGGATGCTTTTCAAAATTCGAAAATGTACTCACGTCCAGCGTTGCTGCAGTAATCTGCATTGTCAAGTGATTCGAATTCCACTTGTGGAGTAACTCGCATTTTCCTACTCCAGGTTTCTGCTTATTTTTATTGTCACATGATAAACGGGTTTTAGTAACTCCCAATCACTCAAGTGAACATGAGAAGCGACATTCGGAATCAGTGTTGATCATGCGATTAGTAGTGATCAAACCGCTTTCGCGAGTGTGGCTTTGTAAATCCTACAGTGGCTGCTTTTACGTAAGCAGAATAACACTTGACAATTGAGGACTGGGACCTACTTCGTGCTAGAGAATCGGCCTTCAATTTTATTATCGTGGATGACACCTTTGCAACTTGCGGATTAAGGACTGTTGAGGAAATCATAAACGAAGTGACTGCATTGCAAGGGGTGTCAAGTAGCAGAGATTGCTACCAGGTTGCAACTAACGTTGAGCAACCGTTGCCGATGGTTGAAACACAGCTTGACGTCGACATGCTGCGGCGCGTAGCGAGCTCGATCAATGTTGGCGACGACATGTGCGCACTTTTACGTGTTTCAAAAGTGCCTGCAAACGACTTCAGAAAAAAAAAAAAAAAAAAAGACTGAAGAACATAATTTTCCTGCAATAAATTTTTTTTTTTTTTTTAAATTTTGATTTGTGAGTACATGAGTTCACTTGGAGCTAGTACAGTCTAATCCTCTTATAACAAATGCAGTTATTGCGAAATATTGGATATAATAAACCAGTGTTTATTTCATGCTCCTGTTTCTGTACTTTCAATACGGCGTAAGCCCACTTTTAATGAAAGAATGCAAATTGTAGCTAAAGGCAGGGGTTTCAACCGAAAAACATAATGTTTCGGTTATGGTTACCATTTCTTGTTGAGATCGGTTTTATTTCCGTTTCTTACAGTTTTAATTTTCACGGTTTCAGTTACCAGTTACTCATTCCTAGAAACCATTTTTTTAAATAATCTTTAATAGTTTTTTTTATTGAAATGCTAGACATACATTTTTTAATAAACTTTTTAAAGTATACTTTCAGATATCCAACAATGGACATTCCCAATAACAAGAACTAAAAAACGTCTTAGTACTTTTAATTGGTCAAATTTGCGCACATTTCTAACTCCAACACTTGCTCATACATCTATTTGGATTATATGGTTTGACACCCGAGCATACATGTTACCCCCACTATTCGGCAATCATTGTATTCTATATGACAAAAAATAAAAAGAAACATCGCTATGTCATTTCAAGATGCTTCCTCAAGATCATTCTTGAGAAAAACTAATATTTTTATTTTTCGGTTAATATTGGCTAATATCGGTTACTGGTAAATCATTCTTGGTTACGGTTACGGTTTTCATAAATTACAAATAACCATTTCGTTCCGGTTCTGGTTAGTGCAAAAAATGTCGTTCCTATACGGTTTTTGGTTTTGGTTATGGTTACAGTTCGAGTCCCTGGCTGCAGGTATAATAAAAAAAGTTTCCTAAAGCAGAGAATGTATTTAACCAAAATGGTCAAAATCTAAAGCATCGGGTGTTTAATTAAGAAAAATCAGTTTCTCGACATTTTGGCGTCGGCCCTAGCAATGTGGGGCTGCTTCCTCCGAGAAACTTTACGGCACTTTGCACACGATGGGTTTGGCTCTGTCACATGGCACGTATTGTTGCAACTTTGCAGTGAAAGGCGGGAGAGAGAGCGCATGCAGAGGGGGAAAGAGGAGGGTTCGCATGGTTGTTCGTTGTGCGGCGTGCATTGCTTCAGTTTGATTAGTTTTTTTTTTCCCCTTGGTGCCACTCGACTCCTTAGCCGCCGCGAGCACCACTGCTAAAATGATTGGCAAAGTATGTTGCCTTGCAGAGATTTACTGCAAAACAAAAAACCATCTCTCAGTCTTGGAGAAAGCGGACGACAAAAGGAACGGAAAACGCAGGCTGTTAGCAACGTCTTTGAGCATGCAAGATCGGAACGGAGCAGTGCTCTCCCAGAAGATCTCGTTCTGTCGAACGTCGACTTTGCGAGTTAGTTTGTTTCATGACCGACGACAGTATTGTCGCCGCCGAGGCCTTGGCAGACGAAGAGCTCGTGCACTGCGCCACCGAAACGGAGGAGCAGATGGCACCAGAACGGGCAGAATGAGAGCTGCAGTGAAATACCGGGTTGTTTTTCGTCTGATTTCATCGTTTTCCGTCGATACCTTTGACGAACACGGCCTTTTACGCTGTCGCACACCATAGAAGTTGAGATTGTAAAGAGATCTAAGATGTGCAGCATACAACGCGCGGCACAGTTTGTGTGAACGCGACGTCGGTGCTTTTTCGCATGCCTAGAATGAGCACTTCTTTTTTTCTGTCACAATTTGGCGCACATTTATTTTTGTTGGCGATTAAACTTTGCTGTCACGTGTATTATTTGTTTCTATGGCATTTACAATATGCCATAGAAGTTTCACAGGGTGCTCATACTGTGCACCCTGTGAACCCGTGGCTCCTAGCTCCACTGGTTTCTCGCAGTGAAAAGATAGTGTAGGGAGAAGCCTACCTTCAGACACGCCAGAATGTGTGTGCATGCGTCGGGGATTGTATTATAAACCCAAATGCAGCATTGTTGCCACTTTGCAGTGAAAATATAACGAATGAGACAGGATGGGACGCCGTGTCCTGTTGGCCTCTATTTACTTGTGTCCCCGTTTTTAGGCATTTTACTTCAGGGATCCACGTACAACCAACTAGCCTAATTTCACATTTTTGAAAAACCGAAGATGACAAACGAAAGAGGGGACAACGCACAAAATGTCTCAATTGAGACGTTTTTTGTGTTGTCCCCTTCTTCGTCTGTCGTCTCCGGTTTTTAAGAAATGTGCGACATCAACCAGCTCACCTGCTCACTCCCTCTGTAGCCCAATTTGCCATCTTAAAGGGATACTGACAGAGTAGGTATTTATGCTTGCCGAGGTTTTTAGTTGTACATGGCATATGAGAGCCTAACTACCCAGAACAGAGTTTGCGGCTCGATATTCGGTTTCTCTCCACCCGGAAACCGCCGATGAAAAACTGGCCGGTATGAGTTGCGCTGACCCTCGTTTCGGGCCGTTCTCTAAGGTTTAGACATGACCACCAAATTTAATCAAAGTCGCGGGTCATTGAAGGCACACACTCAATATTAAAAATTAAAAAAAACATATGAAACCCATTTTTTGTGGCTTTTAAAAAGCTGCAAATACGTTGACTGAAAAAAAAAAAAAAAAATGTTACACACACACGATTGGAAGCAATCTGTGCGTTCACTGCGTAATTCTCAATATGGCGTCGTATCGCGTATCGTGGGGCTTGCGGGCTGGAAGGCGATGGCGGCGGACGACTGGCATAGGACCTCTACTTCGCAACTCTCATTCGCAATACCGGCGAATCTCTCTTCCTTCGAAAAAGAAATTTTGGACCGATCAAAAGAATTCGTATTCATCCCGTACGACACGCCCGACCACCAAGCCGATTTGCACAAAGACGTCTTCAAGCCGTCAGCCGTTATTGTGGCTTGAAAACATCGCTCACGCAAATGTGAAGCACGAAGTGCGTAGTTCGATTTTAATATGCGCACGTACGATTTCTTTAGTAGGTGCGAATGTGGCCAATGCATGGTTGGCGCGGTGCTGCCAGACTTCGAGCAAAGGGAGTGCCTTTGATGAAGAGAAATCGGCATTCTTTTTGGAGCCGATCACGGGAATTCACCATGGGTACTCACTACTCATTTCCAACTCTTCAATGTACAAAAAAAACTCGTCTTGAAGTGCAGAACAGCGAGTGGAACAAACATAACTTCAAAACAATCGCACAACAAACTGTTCCCGCAATGCATGTCGTCTGCTGTACGCAGTCAAAAAAAAAAAGTGCACGGTCGGGTGTATTTACGTGACTTCCGGAACTCACTCTCTCCTCTATATTTCTCCAACCTCCGTGTGCGGGTCTTGGTTTCGGTTTTGAGCAGTTTCGTTTTTTGGCTTTATTAAAAAATGTATGTGACTCTGGAGCAAACTATTAACTGGGTTGTCTTCTGACACCATATTGAATCGCCTGTCACAAAATGAAAAAAGTTTTTGGGGGTGTCAGTGTTCCTTTAATGCTTTTCAACCAGCACGAGCTGTCGCTGTGTCACCTCAACGCACTGTACGCATAATGAAGTCAGAATTTTTCGTGAAGTCCAGATGTCATAGAATTCCAGACACAGCAAAGATATTTTGGATTTCAGTCAGCTTCGCTAGAACCGCGGGTTTGAGTGTACACTGAGGTGTGCCCTGGGACGTTCCCACAGTCAACTTCGTTTGCTGTACAATTTATGTTCCGCAAGCAGCCAGGGCAAAGGAGCGTTGAGACTAGAACACCGGTGTTTTGCGAAGGTCAACCAACCTGGGTTGTGCACTGGCTCGCAGGTTGCGGAGGCCGGGGAAAGACAGCTGCCCAGGTGGATGCAGTTTGAGTCGCCGACCCTCTCCGGGGTGCCCCTGGTGGCCGATGTCGGCCAACACTACATATCGGTCAAGGCCATCGCTGAGAATCCAGGTGAGAACCACAGACTCGCCTCAACGTCCCGAACGAACGCTTTACGCTCGACGCACGCTGATTCTGCGGCCCCCCGGCGGCATTTGATGCCGCCCTTCATCTCGGGATGTGGCCGACTCGAAGGATTCACAGCATGCTTACCCCAATGTCACGAAACGAAACCTCGAAATTGAATTAATGGTGTGCGTCGAGCATGAAGCGTGGGATTTTGAACTGCCCAGAACTTTCATTTCCTGGCATCACTCTTGCAGCAGTGATGGGAACAAAGATGTGATTGCTGACAATGTCGCGAATGATCGGCGACCGAATGTGTTGATGCACCGCTGCTTGGGGCCTGTGGAGCAAAAGTTTGCATTGCACCTCCGGGGTATACTAAATCCCCCCCCCCGTTTTGATCTTAATGAGCAGCATACTGGCATGCGGTCATGTATCACTGCTGCTGCAGTCATACTGGACGAGTTATTTTTTGTTCTGCGCTGCTAAAGTTCACTACGGTGTAGACCGCATATAACGTATGTCGCGGGAGTCGCGAATATCCACACTATAAGCGGTTCCGCACTATAACCAAAACATCAATTTTTCAGGCCAGAATGCATGCCATCAGACAACTTACCTTTGTAAAAGAAGTTATTTTATGTTAGATGAAAAATAAAGCTTAGTTTGAGGAAAGTCTATTTCACCAGACTAGTACACTTCTCTCTCAAGTATGTCACACATTTTGAAAGAAATGAGCGACTTTTGCCTGGCGCAGCCTTTTAACGGCGTTGCGGGTTGCGGACAAACGTTGCGAGTGTTCAGGATTGCTAACCCTAATCACTTTTCTCCGGCGATGAAAATGCGTGAAAATTCACATCCTTTATACGGTGCGTGCCAGTAATACCTTGAACTTAAGCACAGGCATGAAATGCTCCAAATAAGAAATCCGGGCGATGTTCGAAAACACAAATGCTTAGAAAGCACCACTGTAGTCGAAGTAAACAAACACGACGACACGGGCGTTTCTGCCGTCTTGAGAGTGCCGCCACAACTTTGCCGCACGAGTAGGTGGATATTCCCTTCTAGTACATGCTGGGTTATCATAGCGACACACAACGAAAATTCACAGTCAAGAATAGCGCTTTTACGCGGAACGATGAGCTTCTACCACGCCGTCTACGTCAACGATCAAACCGACGCTATGTTTGCGGATCGAAGCAGCCGGCCGGCCGGCCCGCGACCGGCATGAACGCGCGCGAACACTTCTTCTTGACCTGCGATTGGTCTGTCGTTGCAGTTGTTTCCAACGCAGCAAAGGGACACGCACGCACGTGAACGACATGTGCGTGCGTCCCTCAGTCGCTATGGCAACTGAAGCCTCTCTCTTCGCTTCTCCCCGCTTCTTTGAGCAACCTCCTTGCCCCGCGAGTGCCGCTTGTGGCCAGTGTTATTGCGGCTCACGCCGTTATCTAGTGTCGCACAGGGAAGTGTGCTCTCTGCGTCGGTCAGTCGGCGCGGTCGCCGGGCTGTTCTAAAAACTGCACTATAACCGGTATTTCCCTTCGCGCGCCTGCATTTTAAGCGGTATGTAATTACATGGAGTTCTATGGGAAAGCGAACCGGTGGTTTAAAAAAGCCGCGTTATACCCGGTCCTGCACTATAAGCGGTTACGTTGTAAGTGGTCTATACTGTACCTGGGACGAAGATGGACGACACTCGCACACGAAAGGCGCAACTAACAACTGGTTGGTTTTTCCCTCCAAGTTAAATTTCTCACCTATAGCATCTAACAATGTACTCCAAAGGCAGACTGAACACACGCTGTCTAAGCAGCTAGCGACAAATACGACTTTTGAGATGATGTGTCATGCTTATACGTTTGAACGGGGCAGCGACTTGCACCGCTGCGGACAGTCGTGGACCCTTGCTGGATTATACCGGGACGTCCAATAATTTGATATTGTTGGATGCCTGAACTCAAGCTGAAGCGAATGCAGAGGGAAGAATGTAATTTGATCTGCTATTGAAAATATTAAAGGGTAACTGCAAAGAAAAAAAAGTTTTTTTTTAAACAGCCTAATTGGGACAAGCATGTCACAAAACAAATGTTCCGCAAAAAACATTATTTTTTTTATCAATATTTACGCCACAGGACGTAATTTAGTAGAGTCAGAACCTTTCCACATTTGAAACTCCCGCTCTTTCGACCCCCGCGGAAGAGGAGTACGCCCCGCCCCTCACTCTCCTTGCGTTGCGGAGTTGAACGACGCAGCGTCTCGACTTCCGGCAAGATCTGGCAACTACGCCAGGCCGCCGTATTGTTTTGGTTTGACGCGGTTTGCGAGCACATGTAGCGAAGACGTGACCGGAGAAGTGCCCCTGTGATGTTCCCGGAAGACGGAAAGTATCGTTCGTAATCGTCGTGCGCGCCGAAAGCGAAGGGAGTCACAGAATCCACGAGTGCGCAACCACAAGCCAAGGTTCACGACAGCGCTGCGTTGGTTTCGGCGATCTCGTTCTGTTTAGTGCAACACGGCGATGCGACAAAGAGCTGAAACGTTCGTGGTGTGTGTAATGCGGTGCTAAAACGGAGCGCAAATTGGTTGTGGGGTTGACGTTCAACCAGTTCACTCCCGTCGTCGTCAGCTGATCCAGTCAAACTGGTCCGGGAGGACGCAACGAGCGTTTTTAAAAGTAAATCTGCCTCGTTATGTTTCAAAATGTGGAACATTCCCGACGCATACCGTGAGTAAAAAGCTGCGGGCGTTTTCAACAAAATTACGTTGTTTTATTTGAACAATGGACTCCGAATTGTTGTCCTAAATGTGCCGTTTTTATGCTTCGTGTTGGACTGCGTTTGCACAGCGACGTGTTGCATCGTGCGGTGTGAATAAATTTGGACTCAATTTCGTACCTGCCTACAGATGCATGAATGGAGACCATTTTTACGTAGTGGACATAGTGCTTTTTTATTTTCTGTCTAGTCGCGGACGTTAGGTGCACACGGAGCGAATCTCGACGGCCTCCAGAGCGATATGACGAGAACGTAACTAGACACGTTGGTCGCTACGCGAACGCCCGATTGCCTCCAGCCAAATAGCATTCCTTTCGGGGCGACATGGCTGCTGGAAGGCTCACTGTCGGGATCACGCATCTGACATCTCCGAAAAGTCAGCGTTTGCACGCGCAAACAAGCAAAACAAACGAAAAAAACAAAACAAAACACTCTAAGCAAGCAAAGAGGAAAACTAAAGAACCGCGCTATGAAAGCCAAAACCCCGCGTCGCTTCCTATCACTAACACCTGCGACAGCTGCTAAACACACACTACTTCACTTGAAGAAGTCTCACTCAAGCACCTGGGTCAGCACGAAACGACGAAACACTGATCACTTCGGCGAAACGATTAGTCGAGGTAGGCGAGACAGGCGGGAGCAGAGACTTCGGCGGCCATGAAAGAATGGCGAAGCTTTTGTTTGTATGAATCCAAACGGAAGTGCCGGTCTTGAAAACCTTTTGTAAAGAATAATAACTCTCATCACATGGATTATTCTTTAAACGTAAAAATATGCCGCTCAAAAGGAAATTGCAACATATAACAAAGGTTTAACAACCAAGATCTCAGCTGTCAATCAAACTCTTAGCCAATGAGAACCTTTTGGGATTGACGTCACATAATCACAACTTCGTGGCGCGCGATTTAAAACGGACGAAATAGCCGCAAACTAAAATGAGTCTCACGCAATGAATATTGCTGTAAAAAATGTTTTTTCTCGCGGAAAAATTGTTTTTTGACATGCTTGTCCCAATTAGGCTATTTAAAAAAAAACTTTTTTTTTCTTTGCAGTTACCCTTTAAGTTAATAATTGCCCAGCCCTATGAGGAATACTTTATCGTCTGCATTGATTACTCCGCCAGAACAACAAAACATAGTTTACCTTTTTTGTCAGAAACAATAATTTTTTATTTTTTTAGACACGGTTTTTTACTTTTTCTTTTTGAAATATTTTTTAAAGGGCAACTTCGCTTCATTTTTGGTTTTGAAAAAACAATGCAGTCCCCTTCAGTATCACCTAGGAAGACCACACGTCAAATATTACAGCGCAGTTCTGTCTAAATGTTTCTTGAACGGTCCGGCAAACGGTTGCCGAAATCCGCTGACTCGAGCGGGCGTATTCAGGCGTAGCCAACAGTGCAGCCAAGGCTATGGCATGGGCGTAGCCAACATTGAGTTAAACGTCATCACCATTGCCCCCTTTTGCTTGTTTTTACTTCTCCGATCGAGCGTAGCGCATGGCGTCAGCAACTTTACCTCTCGGCGCTCAGCGGTGTCCATGTGGTTGGCGTAATGCGCCTGCACAGCGCGCTTCTTGGAAGCCGTCCGGCTGCCCGTCGTGGTCCCACCATTACCGCCGTTTCTCCAGTGCCACAACCGCCATCGTCGTCTCATCGTTTGTGATTATTGCATCGCGGAGTTTCATCGACACTACGGACATCACAAGCGCAGACTTATGCCGCAGTTCTGCAGACGTCGTTGAATGTCGTAGACACCAAAACGTGGCAAAGAGTGGGGTGCAGACGACACTTGCGCCAGACGACAATCCCGCCCGTCATTGGGCCGAGGATCACGGGACATCTCGTACCATGTGATGGCCATGTTCTTGGCAACCCGAGGCCAATGTTGCCGGACGGAGTCAAAGTTTCACCTTCCGATTTCCGCTCGTGTTTAAAATTACATTTAAAAATATATATCCCAATTTTCGCGAAGCAAACGACGTAGTGTCTTTTACTAGGACTTTTAGGGGCGAAGCTCCTTAGAGTCTAGCCTTGTCCGTCCGTCCGTCCGTCCGGCGTCTCTGCTCACATAAAAAGAAAAAATGTTTGCGCAGTCGACAGGATTCAAATCTGTGTGGATAGACCCCAATAGATTTCTAGTCCATCGCCTTAACCACTCGGCCGCGACTGCAGGACGAGTAGGGGGCTCTGAGATGTGGTAGTAACCAGACTTGTACGTAATCCGTTAC